GTTCCCGGTCGGTCCTCCAGAGGGACTTAGCCGCGATTCTATGGAACTGTTTTGGGGCATAGGACAAAAATCTGACTTCCCTAAAATTTCTGAACCCCTTATCTGATCTGGGTGATTTTGGATATGTTGTTCATCCAGATCAAGGCTATAAGGGGATGTAACATTTATGGGGATATGTTGTGTTTTGGGGTACGTATGGTACTTTATAAAAATGTGTGTTTTTTCTGCCTGGGGCTAATTAAGTTAATGTATTATCTGCCTTAATTATATCACAGGCAGAGGAGAGGGATTGTGTATTGCATGTGGGAGTATCATTCATTGTCACATTGTTTTAATTGGCTTGTACACTTTGTGTCCCTGTGCCCAACAAGGTCCACCTGAGTGTCACCGTTGTTGGAAAACTTGCATAAAAGGCCAGCTTTGGCTTCCATTAAACAGACTTGTTCTACCCTGCATGAAGTTTAGGCTCATGTTAAGGGGATTGGAGAACTACATACACTCTGGGGGTTGCTATAATCACTATACTCCCCTGAGTATAATCACTAAGCTCTTGTAAGAGCTGTTCATGCTACGCTCTCTGGACTAGGAGAGGCCTACACACTGGAAGCTGGATCCTGGCCTTGGGTCAAAGGTGGAGGGCTGCGAGACCCCAACCAAGCTGCGGCGGTTTGTGGGGTTTACGGTGGTTATGGTGTTCCAGTGCAGTGCTGATGGTACTCGCAAGTACTAGGAAGCAGCGAATGATGGAGGTACTCGGTCAGAGTGCCAGGCGGTCCGTCACAAGGATATTACAAGAGGAGCCCGTAGAGAACACCTTACAGATAACCTTAATGATTTCAAACTGGCGACTGACTTTTGTTCAGCGGCCTAACTGGATTTAACTAAAATGGTGATGAAAAGTATGGCTCTATCAGTGGCATATAGGAGAGAATTATGGCTTCATGCTTAGGTACCAGATTACACCTTCAAAGCTTCCCTGTGCGCTCTCCCATTCCAAGGTGATCTTTTGCTTGGTAGAGTCCTAGATTAAGTTTTCTAGGAAGCCACTGATGGGAAGAAGGCCTTTCTTTGAAGGAGAAAAGACGATCTAACTGTTCAGACCAGGCAGAGAATTCTCCAGAGGCTCAAACTGGAAAAATGTACCTGTCCTACTTTACATAGTAGTGTAACCGTGGATGGTTCCCTTATTTACCACTATAACGTCTTAAAGCATAGAACTTAGCAGGGCTAACCATACAGATATCTTAGCCATAATTTTATATAGTCAGTAAGAGATCCTCTATTTAAAATATATAAATAATTGAGAATACAATATAAAATAAGGATTGTCTTGGAAGCAATAAAGTTTTGTCTTTTTAGATATTTATTATATAAAAATATAAATATAGACATATGAAATCTATTACAGTAATTTATAGCAGAGTTTATAAGATTAAACTATATGCTTGCAATATCATTAAAATAGAATAACATACCCTCCTGAACATGTCAACATGTCAGCCTCTCTCAGTCATTATATTATGGAGCAGTGACTGTCTCCAAATCTCTCCTCTCTTTGTCCTAATATTAATAGTACACATATTTATACCTTAAATGATCATTTTAGGACCTCCCTTAACTTGGCAAAGATACAAGGCCATAACTAAAACGTAAGGGTGCACACGTCATGGGAAATTCCACTAAGCTACGACAAAATGGCGTAAGTTAGAACTTTGCAGCATATTATGCACTGAAAAAATATGTTTCATTTCTAACACCTTGTCAGTTTGCAATATCTTAAAGACAAAGTACACAGTTTAAAATACAACTTTGCATTCTAAAACTTGTAATATTTGCATTTGCCTATAACATTAGACATCTAGATATACCAAGTAGAATATAATAAAGTCCTTACAGTTCAATTGCAAAACGTGTTTTGCCTCTCCTGGAGGCTTCTTCAGTTGTTGTGTCAATTCTCCAGAACCGCTTGTTCCTCTTTAATAGGTTGAAAATGACCACCACTGGGTGCTTCCTGGAGTGCCGGCATGACGTCCTTATGATGCAATATGTCCGCATCGGAACGCATAGCTGGGTTCCATGGGTAACGTCCTTCTAATGCCATATGTCCGTGCTGGAACGCATCGATGCATTCCATCATCGCGGCCCTTTCCAGACTTGTAATCCAGGCTGTCGTTTCTCTGTGCTTCTGGAATGCAATATGTCCGCATCGGAACGCATCGCTGGGTTCCATGGGTAACGTCCTTCTAATGCCATATGTCCGTGCTGGAACGCATCGATGCATTCCATCATCGCGGCCCTTTCCAGACTTGTAATCCAGGCTGTCGTTTCTCCGTGCTTCTGGAATGCAGTGCTGGGTTCCACTTATTGTGTGAAGCATCATTTCATATTTACCTCTCTAGGAGGTATCTACTATTGTTAGTCATCTCAAATGTTCATATTTAGTGAACAATGTAGGTGGGAGAAAATAAATAAATACAAGCAATTATACATTGGTAATAAAAGTGGTTTGTAGTTTCATTATTTCAAAGAGAAAAATTATTTAAAAGAAGAGTAGCATACATATAAAATAAGAAAAAGGAGTCCACAACATTCAACCAGTTTTCCAATATTGTGTCACTATAATAATAGAGCACGATATTAGGAAAAGGTCATCAAGACTGACATATTACCGTATATACTCGAGTCAAGTTTTTCGGCACATTTTTTGTGCTGAAAAACCCCCACTCGGCTTATACTCGAGTCACTGTCTGTATTATGGCAACTTACATTGCCATAATACAGACCAGGACCGCCGGGCTCATTACAAGCCCAGCGGTCCTGTTTGGGGCTGGCAGCGAGCTGTAACTTACCTTTCCTGCAGCTCCTGTCAGCTCCCTTCTCCTGCGTTCCGGTCAGCTCCACTGTAAATCTCGCGAGAGCCGCGGGGTCAGAGCATTGCCACGGGTTACCGTGGCAACGCTCAGTGCGGCAGTCACACTGCGAGACTTACAGTGGGAGCTTACAGGGGAGCTGACCGGAACGCAGGAGATGGTAGCTGACAGGAGCTGCAGGAAAGGTAACAGCTCGCTGCTAGCCCCCCTCCTACACAGCCCATGCCACTGGACCACCAGGGAATGAGAGCCCCTCTCCCTGGCCAGCTAACAAGCAGGGAGGGGGGACGAAAATAAATAAATAAAAATTTTAATACTATTAAAATAAAATAAAAATATTAATAATATAAAAAAAATAATAATAATAATAATTAAAAAATAAAATAAAAATGCCCACCCCCCCACCAAGGCTCTGCATCACATACACACACTGCACTCATATACACACACACACTGCATTCATACACACACACACACACACTGTATTCATACACACACACACTGCATTCTATACAAACACACTGCACTCTATACACACACACACACACTGCACTCATACACACACACTGTATTCATACAAACACACTGCATTATATATACACACACACTGCATTCATTATATACACACACTGTAAATAAATATTCAATTAATATAATTTTTGGGGGATCTAATTTTATTTCGAAATTTACCAGTAGCTGCTGCATTTCCCACCCTAGTCTTATACTCGAGTCGATAAGTTTTCCCAGTTTTTTGGGGTAAAATTAGGGGTCTTGACTTATATTCGGGTCGACTTATACTCAAGTATATACGGTATATAAAAAATAAAGAAATATGTTAGTGATAGGAATATGGCAGCAAATATAAATATTACTGTAAAACTATATTATTTATCGTGAATTCCCTTTCCTTATAAATAATAGCTAAAAAGTCATATACTGATAATACCCATTAAACTATAAAAAATCTAAAATACTTCAAAATAATTAAAATGGCAGATTTCAAAGTCAAGGTTCAGCCCATTTGTGATCAAGGTATTAAAATTGAATATGAATTTCATTTCTTCTATGCCTCATTTTGTATTATAATCTCCTCCTCTCCAATCATTTTCACTGCTTTTATAGAGCAAAAAACAGGCCCTCTGGGTTTTGATTATGCATCACTTTAAAGTGTTGTGAGACACTTTTCTAAACCTTTTTTTAATATTTCTTACATGTTCTGCAATTATAACATTTAATTGCCTAATGGTTTGGGCCACATATAGGAGAATACATGGGAATTTTAAAATATACATTACGCCTTTGGAGTGGCATGTCAAATGATCCTTATTTTGATACTGTTTATTTATAATATGATTGATCTCTATCAAATGTCTTTTATTAATTTTCGTTTCCCTACACGGGAGGCAATTCCAACATCCAAAAATCCTCAAAGGTCATTTAATTTGTTTTAGGTCTTGTAGTTTCTAAACAACTCTTTACTAAAACGTTCTTAAAATTCTTTGTCCCCCTATAAATAATTTTCGGTTTCGGGGTAAAATTTTATTTAAGATTGGGTCTTCCCTCAAAATATGCCAGTATTTTTTGATCGCTTGTTGGACTTTTCTATTTTCCTGTTATAATTACAGATGAAGGGGGCTTCATCTTTCCCCAAGGATTCCTTTTTCTCTATATATTTAAGGAGTGGTGGCAACTACATCGAGAGAACAAGTTGCAACCACAAACCCTGGCTAACAAATGCACCAAAAGGACAATTCCTCAGAATCCAAAGAAACTGTATGGAAGATGCAGATTACGTTGGACAAGCCAATTATTTGAAGAAACAATTTCTAGAAAAGGGATATGAGGAAATAGAACTTAAGAAAGATTTAGAAAAAGTGTGACAATTACCTAGGGGGAAACTCCTTAAGTAATGCATCATAAGGACGTCACGCACGGGATGCCAGACCTCCAGGAAGCACCCGCTCGCGGTAAGTTTCAACCTATTTAAGAGGAACAAGCGGTTCCGGAGAACTTACATAACAACTGAAGAAGCCTTCAGGAGAGGTGAAACGCATTTTGCAAATGAACTGTAAGGACTTTATTCTATTTTATATTTTGTTCTTATTTTTATTTATTTGATATACAAATAAAATATCGTTCCCACTGTGATCAAGAATTGATGGATTTATATCTGAAACCAGAGGGGAAACCACTACTTCGGTAGACAAAAGAGACTATCAAGCTTATACACTGAGCCTAGTGATCACTGGCTCTTATTTTGTGAGTAAACATCTTTACATAGATATACCACAGTCTTTAATATAGACAATATTGCACTAGGATTCTGTTTCTTTTCATTCCTACTATAGAATATTCTATTCCGTGCATTGTATATATACATCTACTACCTGTTTGATAAGTGAAGCTCCACCTATTGTATGAGGGAAGACTTCAGTCTTTTTTATTCTGTCAGGACCAAAAGCATCCAGAGAAGGAAACACAATAGAATTTGCCTCTTTCCCAGTAAAAAATGTATTCAGAAGATTGAGAGTAGAAAAAGGAATAAAGGAAAAGACAATGAAAGAATGAATACAAAATCACAAAATATTGGAACAAAAGGTCAAAGAGGAAGTTCCTCATTGCAAAAGATTCCTACGTCTCTACTCTACATTATTTCTAGCACTCAAGCCACAAGAGAAATGAAGACTTAGCTTGGATCTAAAACAAATTTCAATGCTTTGCTTAAAGTAATAAAGTTCAAGATGGAATCAATGTCCTCTATCCTTCCAACTATCAAAAAAGGGAATTTGATCCATCAAAAGATCTGAAGGACGCCTATTATCAGATTCCTATTCACAAAAACCATGTCCAGCTTCTGAGATTTTGGATCTTAGGGAGACACTCCAAATTCAGGGGTCTTCCCTTCAAATTTAGTCTTGCACCCAGCACATTCTCAAAAATTCTAATAATGTTGGTGGCACTTCTTCAACAGGAAGGTATATAAATATTTTATTGCCTAGATGACATCCTAATTACTGCCCCCTCATTTCATACAGCAGCTCTTCATACACAAAAGGTCCTCAAATGCCTTCAAGACCATGGATGAAATAGAAACAATGGAGAAAAGTTCATTGAATCCTTCTCATCAGACAATATTTCTAGATGCAGTTGTAGATGCAACAACCCCTTGAGTGGCACAATCCACAGAAAGAACGAGCAGAATCCTACAGAATATTCAAACTCTCCACAGAAAATTCATGAGCCTTTTGGGTTCCCTTGCATCAATCATAGAACTAGTATGGTCGGCTCAGTGGAACACGCATCCGATACAAATAGAACTCCTATTACAGTTCCACAGAAGAAAACCAAACTGGGAACAGAAGATTCTTCCTTCAGTAAAAAAACAACTATTGAACTCATGGCTCACAGCAAAAAATTTTAAAAAATGATTTCCCCTAGAAGAACCAGGTTGGCTAATAATTATCACAGATGCCAGTCAAACTTTGTGGAGACAAGGGATATGGTCTACCAAGGAAAGGAAATTACATTCCAACATAAAAGAACTAAGAGCCATCTTCAAAGCTCTCACAGAGCAGTGGCATCATATGTGAATCACCAAGTGGGCAATCGCAGCACTTGGCTTTTGACAGAAATGTGTCTTCTGGTGACCTTTGTTCAGACTCACCTTCTCAATTTAAAAGCAGCCTATTATTCAGGACCTCAAAACATTCTGGCATATTATTTGAGCTGATCTGATATTCTTCCATGAGAATGCAGACTGAACCTGGAAGTCGTGCTGGAAATTTCACTCATGTAGGCATGCCTCAGATCGATTTGATGGCCAACTCCAAGAATGCCCAGTTCTGAAATTTTTCTCTTTAAGATGCCTTGTTTTAGACTTGGAATTTTGATTTGGGGTGTGTTCCCTCCATTACCTTGATTGATTTATCGTCTTCTGAAGAATATAAGAAAATATGGAAGGAAGATAGAAAGTTATAGCCAGGAAGACCTTGGTTTCCACTACTGAGCAAAGTCTGTAACCTCCTTGGGCGTTACCAGTAAGAAAGGATTTACTGCTACAAGGACCTGCAGTACACCCCAAACCCAACCAGTGGAGCTTATGTTGGTATGTGTCTTGAAAAATAAAGTTTTCTAAATCAGGGTTTATCACAGAAAGTAGTTTTAATAGATATTCTGCCAGAATCTAAGAAGAAATATACATCTGCCTGCTTTTGCCGTATCTAGGCTAGTGATAAGTTTTTTGATTTCCAACATCCTTCTCAAACTCAAGTATTGGAGTTTCTTCAATCTTCAATACCTATAGTAGTGTCTACTTCCACCTTCTTCGGGTTTTTTCTACCCTCGTTTTACCCAGAACCTGGAGTCCAAGTTACATTGAATTATTTTCTGTAACCGAGGAATTTAGAAAACCACAGCAATTATTCATCCTTCTGTCAGACCCAAAAAGGTCTATTAAATGATACATGGGGTATATACCCTCTACCTACCCCCCCACCCCCTTCCCCCAGCC